AGAGAGAGAGAAAGAGGGAGGAGAGAGAGAGAGAGAGAGAGAGAGAGAGAGAGAGAGAGAGAGAGACAGAGAGAGATTTGCTAGCACATAAATGCTCCATGTATCTGTAACATACTCTTTTTGGAAATGAAAACACAAATGTGAATGTGTATTGTGCAGGAAATTCTTTAAAACACATGACCTTACTTCTAATATACAATGCCAAGGACATTTTACCTTTCTTCTTGTGTGTTAGTTAATTATGGCTACAGTTACGTTGTGTAATGAGCAAGGACATAATCTCTGCAGGGTTACCTTTATGTACCTGCAGGTTGCCGTGAAGTCCACTGATTTAAGACAGGCATAGCTAGGCGAGCTGCTCTAGGGCCTTGAGGCTGTGCTGGGCTCCCTGCCTGTTCGGGCTCCACTTTCACCTCTGCATGTGCATTGGGCTGCCAAGAGAGAAGGCAGGTGCTATGCCCGGGGTGCTCTTGTGGGGAAGGTGGAATTGCGAAGTGCGGGAGGGGGGCCTCACCATGGTGGTGCTTTGCAGGCCTCTGAGTGCATCAGATCTGCTGACCCTGAACTAGCAAAAGCAAATTCCCAAATGAAGCCAAAACCAAATGCATATTTTCCACTCATGGTTCCAGAGGGAAGAGGTAATACAAAACAGCTGTGATAGAAGCAAGCACAGTGAAGAGGCAACCTTCTGAACAAATGTCACACTTGGAAGCTAGACGTGGTGACACACTTGGGAGGCCAAGGCAGGAAGACTGCTAAGTGTGAGGCCAGCCTGAACTGCATAGCAAGACCCTGTATTAGAAAAAAAAAATCACACTTTGAAATTCAGTATTATTTTTTTATAAGCAAATGCAGGGGCCAAGTGTTCAGTTCCGGCCTGCGGTGCTGACCTCGCCCCCGGGGCACACTGAGATGGCAAATGAGACTGGGCGTGGTGGCACGCACCTGTAATCCTAGAGCTCCGGAGGCTGAAAGCAGTAGGATTACTATTAGTCCGACCTCTGTAGTGAGACCCTGTAGACCCTGTACTAAATACATAAAAATAAATTAAATAGATAAATAAAAAATTATTTTATTAGTTATGCATTGTGCTACACTGTAGGTAACCACACTTGGCAGCACTGAAGTGTATAAAGATTTTGACCCAGTTCAGGGATCTTCCTCAGGCAGCCTTCTCATTTATTATGTGCTAACGCTGCCACTGTAACCGTAGTTTCTTAAATGCACGGCTTCTCACAGCGCTCCACACCATGAAGCCTTGAAGGGTGTACTCAACAGGAATTTGTGCATGGGATTCACATGTTACCTAGAAAAATGCAAGCAGCGAGAATTGGAAGCTAACACATTTTATCACGTTTCAATTTATGTGAGTACCCAAAAAGGATGACTGGGCATTGCAGTGTTAGCAGTCCTTCGCCCGCTGCCGTGTATTTTCTGTTACTCTGTATTATCATATTTGGTAGTTCAGTGTTAGGAAAAAATATATTGCTATTGTGAAGAATACTAGAATATTTTATTCAAATCCCCTCCTCAAAAAGTATCATATATGTATATTTTTTCCCTTTTGGAAAAATGAGCTCTTTTTCAAAAGCAACCTATCATCATGCTTTGATGTGAGGTCTGTGTGTTCAAAGTAAAGCACTGACCAATTAGGAAATGAAATTCAAATGCCTTCTAAAATTTAACATTTTATTGCATGCCCATTCTTGATTCATTATGAAGCATTTCAGACAGTAGGAAAGAGCACATCCTATACACAACAGAAGACAACACATTGAATTGAAACACAAAAATTCATCACGATTCTTTCAGAGAACTGAATTTAACAGTAAGTTCTGTATTTGTAGCAGGAACCAAAACTTTAGTGAGATGCCTACTATTTTCTTTTTCATAATCTCTAAAGCTTCTCTACTACACTTACATATGATTCTATCCATTTATGTTGAATAGATTATTTTTATTCATTTATTTACATGTTTTTTATGCATTTGGTTATTACATGGTCTCACTATGCAGCTCAGACTCATAGTGATCCTCCTATTTTCAGCCTCCACAGCAGTGGGATTACATGTGTTCACCACCACACTCGGACTTGGTAGCCTGCTCAGCATGGTCGGAGACAGGGCCAGTGCAGCATGTGGTGCTGGGGATGGAACCCTGGTCCTTGTGCTTACCTCAGCAGGCACTTAGTCCACTGAGCTATCTCGCCAGCCCTAGAAGGGATTATTCTGTTACTCTATACTCTGGTTGCATTCTAAGCACTAAAATCCACACAGTTGTTCATCTGAACTTGATGGTGTAATTTTTCTAGTGTATATAAAATAAATACATTTTTATGAAAATAAAAATGTGCACTCTATGTCATACTAAATATAGCCATTACCTGGCATGACATATATACTGTGAAACAGGTTTATTTATTTATTTATTTTTCCCATACCGGGGATTAAACTCAGGACCCTGCACTTGCCAGGGAAGTGCTTATTCTACTAAGCCATCTCCCCAGCCCAAATGGTGCTTGAGGACTATCTCTGGACCAAGAAGTACAGTTACCTCATTAAGAAACAATATATTTAGAAAATAATTATTTACGTTTATTTTTAAATTATTTTTCAGGTTTGTGGAAGGAATGCTGAACATTTGTTACAATGCCATCGATCGTCATATTGAAAATGGAAAGGGTGACAAGATTGCTATCATCTATGACAGTCCTGTTACAAATACGAAAGAAACTATTACTTATAAGGAAGTCCTGGAACAGGTGACATAATTTGTGCTTTTCTCAGCATTAGAAATTGTATGTGAATTTTTAAGATAGCACACTCTCTGATTGTAGAGATTTTAAAAAATGCGCTGGCATAGGTAACCATATTTTGTATTAATACATGTTTGTATTCCTGATGATTGCATTCACAACGAGGAGTTGGTAGATGTACATAACACACCTTAATTCTGTTTCCTTATCCTTTCTCTCCCTTTTCCTGATGCAGCTTGAAAATTAGTATACATGCGTGAATTCATTTAGATGGTTTATAGCCCTTTAATTAATATTTTTTTAATACTGAAAGATGCTTATTTTACAGAGCCAGCTTGGTAAATCTCAAGAATATGCTCAAACCTTTTTCTGGCTTTTGACCTCTGCTTTTGCGGCCATTGTCATTGTCAAAGGCGCTTATAAGTTCCAGATGACTGAAGAAGTCTCTTTGCTGTCTTCCTGTTGGCAGACTACACATGGTAGATCATTCCCTACAGTGATTCCAGAGTTTTCTTCTGAAGATGCTACACCGTAGATTTTTATCTCAATCTTCTAAAATTTACTACTTTTCAGAGAATAAAACCCATACTCCTTGGATGTTAAAGATACTTTGGGATCCGCTCATAGTATCGCTCCCAAACTTCATTCCCTAACACCCTCAGCCATCAATCACCTCCTCATGGCCCAGATGTCCTGTTGTTCTCTCAGACAAGCAGGCTCTTTGCAGCACTTTGCAAATGTTCCTTTTCTTATCGCATTTGCCTTTTTAAAAATGTTTTTTTAATTTTTTGTTAAGCTCTTTCTTGTCTGTGTAGTTTTTAGGTGGAGCAACATGTCTACCCAAGTAGTATAAGATTTTTCTCTTTTTTTTAACCTTACAGTAGAAATAAGGTTTCAGAAGTTTTAGGAAAGTAGTTGATTATTATATGAAGTTTTTTGTTTTGTTTTATGTATTTGGTACAGAGTCTCACTATGCGGCTCAGACTCCTACTGATGATCCTGTTTTCAGCCTCTCCAGTGCTGAGATTACAGGCCTGGGTCACCATGCCTGGTCTTGGTGGCGAGATCAATGCGTCTGGGGGTGGGACCAGGGTGGCATGTGGTGTGCCTGGGATCAAAGCCTGGTCCCTGTGCTTGCCTAAGCAGGTGCATAATCTGCTGAGCTATCTCACCAGCAAACATAGTTGATTATTATGGACTATTGGAAAATTTTCTAACTCCATGGAACATTTATTCATTCATGATTTTCTGAGCATTTATTCATGTATTATATGATTTATAAAGGGAGATGATGTGTAGAGGTGTCTCTCAGTCTTGGCCCTATTGAGCTTTTGGATGAGAACCTTCCTTCCTGTGGTTGGCCACATGTACACAGTAGGATGTTTATCAGCATCCTTAATTTCTATTCAGTAGAGCCCATAATGTTGTCCCTTACTTAAGAAGAACAAGGTTTGTAAAAATTGCAAATGTCCCCTGGGTGATAAAATTTCCACTGGTTGCAAAGCTCATCTTGAGAGATGCTGTCATGCTGGGATCTGGAAACATTTATCTTTAAATGAAAGCTTCTTGAATTCCATTCTCTACTTTTGTGTTGAAACCAGTTCATGGTTGCACTCTATTTTTAGAAAAGTTGGCCAACTATCCCAGATTCTGAAATTATCTTCTTTTGAATCAGTGTATTCTTGCTCAGGCTTCCAAGTAATTATAAGAAAGGCAGCTCATCCAAAGCAGCTACCTCTAATCCTAAATTGTTATAAACAAGAAAGAAAAATTATGCTGGTTAAGTTGGAGATTAGAACGGTTGCAGCAATAAATTCCAACATCATCTGATTTAGACAAGGAGATCTCAAGACTGAAGAAGCAGGCTGAGAAAGGTGGCATAGGCAAGAGTGGAGGAGCCACAGCAACCATAGCAGGTGACCCCACAAATGGTCCGCCTAATGCACTTGCTGTCTTGAATCAGTCCTTTCAGACTGAAAGTCAGAGCAGCAGCTTAGGTCATGTGGCTAGAGTGCCAGATTTTGGGAGAAATAGCTTGTGTTCTTTTGATTGCACAGTAGGGATTTGGGGCCCCTTCCCCCAGGATATAAACAAGGAATAGTCAATTCCAGTAAGAATGGAGTTTGAAGTTGGGTGTAGCAGCACACCCGCAATGCCAGCACTCCAGGAGGATGAGGCAGGATGATCGTATCAGAAGTTTGAGCCCAGCTTGGGCTACTTGGTGACTTAACAAAATCTTGTCCAAGGGAAAGATAGAAAGAAGGAGGGAAGGAGTAAGGGAGACAGAGACAGAGAGGAAGAAAAAAAAAAAAAAAGCAAGCAAGCAAGTGGCTCAGTCCCTGTCTTTAATTCCTAGTACTGAAACAAAACCAAATCAAATAGGAGTGCAAATGCTAAACAGCACACAGCAGAAAATGCAAAGCAAAATCCTGCAGTGACTCTATGGTTCGTACTCATCACTGGTCTGTGAGTGGGAGCGCTCTCTGTGGAGGGAAGAGATGGAGCATGCACTAGCACTGAGAGAGGAAGGTCCTTCACTGTCAAATGGGCTTCTTACTCAGATGAGACTGTGTTCTAAAAGACAACAGTAGTTTCCTGAAAACCTATTAGATTCTGTTTACTCATTTTTAGTTTCCAGAAGAAGCTTTTCTATGCTTAAACCCGTGTTCCTCTGGCTTGGGCATATTGCCACCATTTCATTTATGAATATGAATGCCCAAGACACTTGTGAATTTGAATTGATATCCCCATTAAGAAGTTTGTTTAGGGGCCAGGGAGATAGCTGTGTAGAATAAGCACTTGCCTGGTAAGCACAGGATCCTGAGTTCAATCCCCGGTACTGCAAAAAAGAAAAAACAAAAAGTTTGTTTATGTTGTAAAAACATCATCTCCATCAACATACTGAATCTATACATTCCCAGCCAGCAGAGTTAACGAAACAGCTTTAGAGAAATCTAAAATGAGGCGCCATTCTCATTTTCTGTTGCTTTCCCTTTCAACGAATTCATTATGAAAGTTTTCATGATAATTACACATGCAATTTGCTTAGGCACTTTTCTCCTACTTCGCCTCATTTTCAAACCTTGAGTCTAGACTCTTAGACTCTTTTGACGTTTGTACCAGTTCACTGGTTTTCAGCTTAGCCTGCTATCAAAGTACTGAGAAGGACTGCTTCTCTTGCCTGCTGACAGCCTCTGTTTCTGTAGACTTTTCTTAAGTAGCAAAGGAAGAACTGTCAGGACCGAGAAGGGCACATTGTATGCTACTTTGATTACTTGCCCCTGGTTCCGTATGGCCTTTATTTTATTAAGGAAAGAAGATAGAGAAAGAAAGATTTAATGGTTAATGCCATTGAGGACAAAAAAATCACACTGCCTTTGTACATTATTTGTTTAATCTCCCCTGTTTCATTTCTACTGGAAGTTTACTGGCTAGGTGAAACTTGATGAAGTTAGTTAGCATGTCTTACTTAATCAGCAAGCTAACTAAATTTCAGCTACATTACACTGATGACATGAAAGATCTGAAAAATTTACAAAGTGATTCTGATCAGAGCTTTTCTAAAACTACCATTTTTCCCCCTGTGGTTCTGAATATGTTAAACAACTTTTTACTAAGGCTTCTGTACAGAAATTTTAGCTCCAGTTCAAATCCATTATTTATTCAACAAATATTTATTTTATATGTCAAGTCTGTTAGGAACAAAGAATGGGAGGCAAATTGACGTATTCCTTATTGTCAGGGAATAAGAACACAGATAATCAGGCAACTTTTATGTAAGCCTTATCATATAAGGCTTAGTTGTGATTGCAGTAGAAACACATGGGAAAGTACTTATTATATTCTTTTCCTTCACTGTAACAAAATACCTGAGATAAGAGACTTATGAAAAGAAAATGTTTTTTTCACGTTTTTGAAGATTTAAGTCTAAGATTAGGTTGACATAGTGCTTTAAACTTATTATGGATGTGTCAGAAGCTATCAAAAAAGGAGCTGGTGGTGGAACAAACTATTCTCATCGTGGACAGGAAACAGGGAGAGGAATGTGCCAAATTCCTATCACTGGGACCAGGGAGATAGCTCAGTAGAATAAATGCTTGCCTGGCAAGTGCAGAGTCCTGAGTTCAATCCCCGGCACCACAAAAGAAAAAAAAAATCCTACTATGGTGCACACACTCAGTAGTCTCGGAGCCTCTCGTGGGCCTCCTCTTCCTAAGACACCACCCCCTCCAGTGGTGCCATGCTGAGGAAGATGTCTTTAACACACAGAACTTTGAGGTACACTTACCTAAACAACAAGAGCCCCCAACTTGGCCAAGCATAAGTTGTGTCCAGAAAGGGTTTCTGTAAGAATTGATCCCTATACCCAGACTAATTTTCTACCTTCTGCTAGAAATAATCTTTTGAAGATATCTGGGTCATGTTACCCACATTACAGATAACATGGATCATGTTACCTGAATATTATTCTCTCAGTGATATCTTTTCTGACTGTATTAACTACAGATATTTTGGCCCATATTATTTTATGCTTCTTTATATTTTCTTTTGTTGTTTCGCTCTGTTTTGTTTTGTCTTCTTTTCTGAGATAGATTCTGGCTGTGTATTCAGGCTGCCCCTGAACATAATGTGCAGCCCAGGTTGGCCTTAAAGTTGCAGCAATCCCCCTGCCTCAGCCTCCCAAGATCTTTATTTTTAAATGTAGCAACTATTACTTAATAAATCTTTATTTTACATATCTGTCATTAGTGTTATTTATTTTCTTGTATGTAAGTGTTTTGAGGGTAGGGATTTTATTTTTTTTTGGCAGAACCAGGGGTTGAACTCAGGCCCTTGTGCTTGCCAAGAAAGTGCTTATTCCACTGGGCCATCTCCCTGGCCCCCGGGATTTTGTTTTGATAGCCTATCATTAGCAGAATGTATTAAATAATGAATGAGTGAATGAATGAATGAAAGATCATTTGAAATTTCTAGGTAGTTTCCTTTATTACAGGAAATTCTTATCT